CGATAACCAAACAGGGGATCCAGCAAAGCTACTCTTGATTGTTGAACTGAGCTGACCTAGCCGTTCTCGAGTCACGACTAGCGCAGGAACCGCTAGTGTCTCGGGAAAAGCACTGATCGGTACTTCAACTTACCCCAGCAGGTGTCACTACTGCTGCACCCGCCAGGTGTCAGCACTGGGTCCAGCGGCTCTGGCTCCGAGCTGATACGGACCTCACGACACCTATGCTCTTCCAACCAGGGCTGCGGAGTCGGAGTCGGAGTCGGAGTCGGAGTCGGTCGGAGTCGACAGTTGTGACCGGAGTCGGAGTCGGAGTCGGAGTCGATTTTAGAAACCCGAGCCGGAGTCGGAGTCGGAGTCACCGAAAATCTGTCGACTCCGCAGCCCTGCTAGGTCTGCGGAGTCGGAGTCGGGAGTTGGAGTCGGTCGGAGTCGACAATTCTGCCCGGAGTCGGAGTCGGAGTCGGAGCTGGTTTTTGAAAGCCGGAGTCGGAGTCGGAGTCGGAGTCGCCGAAAATCCATCGACTCGGCAGCTCTGCTTCCAACCATCCGAACCGTTACTGAATGCTCATCCGTCAATGCCAAGCGTCATGAGCGTTTGTTGATATTTATGGTCCAGCAGTGGCGAGCGTGGTTTCCTGGGTGTGCCCGTCACAATTCACATCTAGATCCGGTATCATGAAGCGAAGAAACCTGCTGGATGCCTTCATTACATGCTGTGTTCTGGTTAACAAGGAGCGGCCAATCACGGGGCATATGCGTTACGCCTACCCATTGAGGTCGAATTCTCGAGTCCTGAACGAAATGCACAAATAATAAGCAATTATAAGTAGGTAAATGAAAAATGAAGTAAGTATATGATGAATGAATTGAATTATCATGCATTGCTTCGAAAGTTCGCATGAAAGACACAAACTTTTCGTTGTAAGCCAGCAGGAAGACGGCTCACCAATTATCATACCGAAATCTTCAGAGAGCCTCGGGACGCTCAACATTCCAATCCGTCAGAGGACCATGCTTTGTTTTCTTATCTCCCACTCACCCGAGCTGCCGGTGACGTTTCATCAGTGACGCCTCCCGTCCCGCTGAGAGAGAAACCAACCACTCACTTTTCAACCCTCTACCTCCCGGGGGCTCAGACGCGTCTCACAAAGGGCAGCTTTGTATTTCGTCGGCGCCCAAATGAGCCAGGTGCTGTGCGGACGGCGCGGGTGGCGAGCCTATCGCGGATAGATCGACAGGAGGACCCTTCCCGCCGCGCGGCCCTGACGGGCACGGCGCCGCACTGCCGCGCTGCGGCGCTTCAGGAGCGCCGGCTGCCGCCGCGCGGCGCGCCGCCAGACTGTCAGACAGTGAGAGATTGACGCGTTGGCGTCACTGACTGAGTGGTGACCACTGACGGCTTGACCACTGACCTGACCATTTCTCTGACCACTGGTCGAAAGGTTGCAGTGCCAGACGGAGACAAACGGATGTTCACCGAACAGGGGCATTCATATGCCTGCAAAGGGAGAAGAGATTGATGTGCCGTTGTTGCCGAATTCGGGAGTTATGGAGGCTTCAGTCAGTGGAGGGGAGAAGAACAAAGGAGAAGGAGAAGGAGATGGGTAAGTGACGGCTGACGAAATTTCCCGAAAGTTTGTATGCATCCAAATCAGAAAAGCTCTCGAGAAAAGTAAAGAATTTCATTAAATTCCAAAGCTAATTAGTCGATACTCTAGCAAATTTCAGATTCATTTCTCTTTTTTACTGAGCACTGAATTACTATTCGTATGAAAAAAGAGTAAAACAGCGTTAACATTTCCTTAGCTTACGCATAGAGACTGTGGCACCATCACTTGATTGTGCTTTTTCCATTTGTGGGTTTGGAGAAACGACACACAATAGTTTTAAACATTTTTAACGTTTAAAGCAACAGTTTTAATGTGAAATTTACAGTACATATATTTCCTAACAGACATCCCTGACCCTGTCCCTATCATCTTTTTTTTTGCCGTACCTCAAGAGTCAAGAGTCGAGATGCATGCTACCCTAGTCCACCGGCCACTAAGTAAATAGCTTCGCTAGTGTTCGCTTCTGCAAAAGTTAATATGTATAGGCAATAAAAAAAACTATCGACGCTGGAACTCTCATGACGGACAAACAAAACTGAACCCCCAAATATTATGCAGATACGATGACGCAGCGTTTCCGTGCAGAAGGTCGTGGCCAGAGCAGTCTGCCGCTAATGTCTGCCATCTGTGCATGATAGCCATCCTTGGCGTCGTTTGCTCGTCCTAGCCATTACCGATCATCGCCCAGCACCACGTCGAGAATTTCAATTGCGTTATGCTGATTTCCCACCGCGCTGCGCGACTGAGGGACGCAACGACCTCCTGCAGAGTAACCACACGCGCGCGCCGATCCGCCTGAGGTCCTGAGGTTGGGCTGAAGGCCTTTTCGGCGTCAAATAAGGGTGGGGGAGTGGGTGGCGAAATTACCAGGTGACCTCAGAGCTCACTGGCGTCATCCTCAACTGCCGCAGCTATTGGTATCGTTGGTTGGTGTTTAGGGTTGGGGGTTTGCATGCGAGCAACAGCAACGTATAAACACAATGCTATCGGATAGCGTTTGTCTATTTCGAACAGCCTGCGGTTACAGAAGATAGTTTCAGGGAAGTAGGAGGGAGGGAGGGTTCATTTCGACGAATCGCCGCTCAGTGTTGTCCTGATGAAACGCAAGGTGATAATCCACAAGCCAGAAGGAGTCTCTCTTTGAAATACGTTTCCATACACGTGTTCACAAATCACAAGAGAGGACGTCCAAGGCGAAACTGCTGTGATAAATCCATGCTCTTCCGAACCTATCTATCTGACGTAAGCCTGTTTATTTCCTCTATGACTGTGGGTCCGTTGCATCCTTCCACCAGACACCTCCCTCTCCTCCCCGCTTCCCCTCTCTGTCCTGTTCCTCTCCTCTCCTACGAATCGTTATCTGTAGGACCTGATGACCGGTTGACTTGTCCACTGTGATTGACAGTCTTCATGTTCGTCCTGCCGCTTGTTTACGCTGTACGCAGTCACCGAGTAACGGGCCGCCAGTGATTCGCTGAATGGAATCCAGTATCTCACCGGACTGTCATATCCGGGAAGCGGTATAACGTGGAAACGTATGTAGTCAGCTCTGGACAGTGTACTCGTAGCTCAGAAAAACACTGACATAAAATTACAGCTTAAAGGCGTTTGTCTGTTTGCGTAAAAACACACAACCAGTCCGAATTGTGTCTATCTAATTGTGTGATTTAAATGTTCTTTTAATGTTTGATAAATGCAACGATTAACTGCTATATTTGCTCATCTTGCATCATCACCTTTCGCTGCCTTTAACCCGCGCCCCACTGGGGTCTGCGTATAACACGCCCTACTGGGGGGGGGGGGGGCTATTTATAGCCCCCCCCTCCTAACTCCGAAACTACTGGGCCGATCGTCAAAATTCAAACGGCGTCTGATAGCCCCGGAAAAACTGTCGAGCGAAACCTAATTTCATTGACCTCGAGGTCACCGATGACGTCACAGGTCAGGTCAAAGTAAAAATTATTAGCATTTTGGCTTGTTCACGTTTTGGGCTCTGGCCGCCGTCTTACAAGTCAGATCAGGCTCATTTTTGGATCACACACTCGTGAACAGATGCTCTAGATACCCTGAGGGTACCAAACTTGTACTTTGATTTTCAGGTCAAGGTCAGGTCATCACAGGTCACGAAAATATTATATCATGAGTCGGTCACGTGACACATGTTTTATGGTCCATTTAGGTCTGAGATTTCGAATTTGATGTCGTCTGTGTCATTGGAGGTCATTTTTAGTCGAATTTAGCTTAGGTCAGGTCACTTTCAGGTCAAAAAAGGTCAAATTTTGAAGTTGAAATTTTTCAACAAAAAAGGTGTCTATTGGATGCAGTTTGAGCTCAGGAACACGATGGTGCTATTTATATTGGCGTACGATGTCAAATACATGCTGAAAAATTGATTTGAAAAATTAATAATTGTGAATTTTTGGCAATAATGCGTAAAACTTGGCCATTTTTGAAGATATTTAGCTAAAACTTGCTAGTGTTAGTCATAATAATGCGTTCTATTACATATATTCTGGTTTTTTCGAAAAGTCAAAAATTTTTTGGAAAAAATGTAAAAATATAATTTTTGGATTTTATTATATCAAATTTTCCAAATTTTCAAAATTTGGAAAATCCGAGATAGCAGTTTGATAGCGCAGTCTATTCTGAGTCCTCTCATGCAAAGAAATTGGATCTAGCTTAAAAACTGAGCTCTTGGGAGCGATTGCCGTGGTTCAATGTTTTGCGTCGAAATCGGCCGAACATTACGTCACTCTGACGTCATTTCCGGCCGACCTATAGTATATACGAAGTTTAAATTTTGACACAAGGTGTCAAATTGATGCAGCCTAAGGTACTGAAAGTTTGGCGTCGATACGTCAAGCGGTTTGGAAGTTATTGCAGAAAAACGGGAGGGGGGCTATAAATAGCCCCCCCCCCAGTGGGGCGCGGGTTAACTGATTCTTACTGCCTCCGAAAAGGCATTGATAGCTCACACTCCTTGTTCTCCCCCGACCTTCACGCTACCTTCAGGGTCGGTCTCTGCATTTACCGCCTGTAAGGAGCATCACCAGAACAAATAGTGGTGACTCGGAGAGTTGAAGTGTGTGCAAAGAGAGGGAGGTGGTCTCACCTGTGAGAAATGAGCCACTCACGACCACCTCAACGCACATACATCGTGACTTCACACAGGATCGGTGGATAGATGGCGGAGAGAGAGAGAGAGAGAGAGAGAGAGAGAGAGAGAGAGAGAGAGTCTGAGAGAGAGAGAGAGAGAGAGAGAGAGAGAGAGAGAGAGAGAGAGAGAGAGAGAGAGAGAGAGAGGCAAAGAGAGCCGATGCAATATAGGAATGCAAACACACTGAAAGATGGGGACACAAAAAAAATGCACAAATGAAAACACACTGAAAACTGAAGAAAGACTTTGTTATTCATCGAGAGAAGAAACAAATATACTAAATGCCATTAGAACCATCAGAGGTAATAAGCATTCGGCGCGCATGCCCGCGCCCGTGTAGCGGACAGCAAGTGCCGACAATAATGTCTGCGGTTGCATCAGCTCCAGCGACGATAGCAGCAGTTTGAGCAGCAGTTTGAGACCGACGAAGGCATTTAGTGGGTGCGGTCCCTGGGACGCCACCCATCCTCCGCTTCCCCGGCGGCGACAGCAGCTCTGTGAAAACAAATGGCACCGATGGCCGGTGTTATCGAAGACTACGGACCTCGTGAGCGGAAGGCAAAACGAATCACTATTCGGAGCATATGATGCAAGCGGCGAGTGTCGATGAAGGCGATGGGAGCTGCGTTGAGTTTTGTTTAGATAGATGTTCTCGTTTAGAAATATCATTATCTAATGGTTATCGGAGCAGCAGTCAAAAGCAAATTTATCAGTGGCAAAAGATCTGACACGAGATGACCAATTAGGTCAACCAATGACAAAGTCCTCCATTTTCCCTATAGGCCATTAATGATCACATTCCTTCTCGTTTTATCTATTATTGTTATTGTTTAGGGCCAAACAGGGTTTGAAGAGAAAATGACTTGGAATGACGAAATGATTTTAAGTATTTTCTTTCTGTTGAAAAGCGTTGTCGCCTTTGTTCGCCTGCAAGTGAGATCATCCAATGAATAATTATTACATGTGGATGCATAAGTTGCTTTTAGACAAGAATGCTAGAAATGCTACGTATTATCAACGACATATTGATAAGTATGACGTAACTTTACCTAAAGTAACTTATAAAACATGGTTCACACCGCACACGCTAATTGCGTCCATTGACTATGGCCATTTACTGTCCGGTTACACAGTCATTGCATATTTTCTCAATGTCAAATTATAGTTCATTCGACGCGTCTCGGCGAGAGCAACACGATTCTGGCAACAGATATTTAGTCGGAAATGTCATCTCTGACCGGAAGGAAGACTTGTCCTGCGCGCGCAGGATGACTGTGTCATCGTTAGCTGGCGCCCGTGAAAACGGTGTTAAATGGCCATACTCAGACATGGGTCTGTGTTTATAACTAGCGCTAAACGAAGCAATTAACCTTGTCTCTAACGGGTGGAGGCAGACCGATGAATGCACCGCCTCTGTCGTACTTCCTTGCTGAGAGGCTTAAAGCAAAGAGGGTATGTGCTTTTAATTTGTGACGAGAGGACCAACTGATGGTGATGTAAAAATAGGCCGCATAGTTTGTAGCATGGCTTGTAGCTTCATAAGGACAGACCATATGAGGTATTTCGTCTTTATGATACCGAGATTAGGCTCGCGTATTCCTCGGCGGGTTGACATATGATCTATGAACATCACGTTCAGGTACGCACATAACGTATGTGGGTGCACCCGTCACATTTGCCATTATATTGACAGATGTGTCGTCATATCGTATTCTCATGGCATGGCCATCACTCCGATTTCTGCATTTCTTGACCTCGTGTTATGTAACGAGCCCTAGCTGGGCCTCACTCAATGCGGAATTTTTACATGCCTAGATCGTAAAATAAATGCGAATATTTGCAAGCGATTCATTATGCAATTTTACGACTCTCAAGACTATTTCAATCCACCTTTTCTGCATATAACATTTGGTCCATAATTCTTCTATTAGAAAAATAATAATTTTGAGCACTTGCTCCTTCTACGCTCACTGCCGCTTCAACCCAATATACACTATTCTGGTTGCGTAGTGGCAAGTACTGTACGCTACGCACTACGCAAATAGCGAAAAGGAAAGTGTTTTAACTTTATCTCCAGATGTTGAGATTCACTGAGACCACTTAACCCGCGCCCGGCTGGGGGTCCTGGATTTCCACGCCCTGCTGGGGGGGGGGGGGGGTGTTTGAACACCCCCCCCCCCGTCTAACTCGGCTCCTGGGCCACGTAGCGATACGTGGAAGGCGGCGTTCGAAAGAGCGCCAAAAATAATGACGAAATCACTTCGGTCACTTTTTTGGTCAGGTCAAAGGTCAGGTCACCAGAGGTCATTAAAGGCAAAATTTCGCCGATTTTCAGGTCGAATGTCGACAATTTCCAGGAAACCAACGCATAACTCGGGAACCAATAGAGCTACAGCGTCGCGGAAAAGCGCATTCGATAGCCCTATTAACGCCCTTTCTGAATAATTCTCTCAGATTTGACCTAATGTCAACGGTTTTGTCTGCAGGGGGTAAAAACTGCAAAAATAGCCTATTTTTTCGGAAAGTTTTTCTGCAATAACTTTTGACCCAAGCTTTGTACGAGCTTACTTTTACCGGCATCGTGTTCCTCTCGTCAAGACGCATCGAATGAACTATAATTTGACCTTGAAAGGTCAACTTGAAAATTTGACCTCAGGTCAAGGTCATGACCTGACCGGAAAGGGTCATGTTGCATATCAGTCGATCCGTATCGACGAGCTGAACACATTTAAGGCGTTTTCACCGCTCTAGCATGCCTCTATCAAAAGTTATTTGCGAAAAACTGTTAGACACCATTCGTGACCTGAGATGACCTCAGGGGCATACATAGGGGTCACGGACACGATTTTCATGTTCAGTGTGTTTAAACCACTTGTAATTCAGTGTTTGAGAGTGTTTATAATGTCTTTCGTCCAAAAGAGGCGCATTTCCATTTTCTCCCATTGACTTATAATGGGGAGGTCGCAAAATTGACCTGACCTTAGTTCACCGATATCAAAATTCTGAGATATACATTTTATATATACTGTTACCCTTATCAATCGCTGAAAGTTTCAAAGCGATCGTTCACTCGGTGTAGCAATGACAGACATTGAAACTTTTTATGAGGTGAGGTCACTTCAAGTGACCTGGTGACCTGACCTTGAATGACCTTGGTCTGAAACTTTCACAACATGTGTAGAATTGATGTATGATAAGGTGTGTGCCGCCGTTTTTGAGATATTCGCGAAAAACCACAAGGGGGAGGGGGGTTCAAACACCCCTCCCCCCAGCAGGGCGCGGGTTAACCCGCGCCCTGATGGGGTCTGCCGAGCAACGCGGTCTGATGGGGGGCCATTTTGCCCCCCCCCCCAAGATCTCGAGAACCACGCAACATAGCGACAAGCGGTAAACGGCGTTGGATAGCCCCAACGGGGAACTACCTTGTGACTGAATTTCATTGACCTCGGTCAAACCGATGACGTCACAGGTCAGGTCAAAGGTCGAATTTTCACCGTTTAGAGGCATTTCAAGAAATGCGTTGTAAAATCGAGTAAAATGCATTTCATTGAAAATCATCGATGGGTAAATGTTCTTCAAACACATATTTTGCTATTTGAGGTCACTGATACCAGGTCAGGTCACAGAGGTCAGGTCACTGGGGGGTCACAATATGAATGTGTCATGTGATACATGTTTTATGGTCCATTTTACATGACAAATGCGATAATGTGGGTCAGGCAGACTTTTGGGCCAGCTTAGGTCACGTTTTGGTCAAGGTCAGGTCAAGGTCAGGTCAAGGTCAGGTCAAATTAGGTCAAATTTCAAAGTTGATATTTTTGCATAAAATGGGTATCGATTCGATGCAGCTCGTCACGGGGAGTTCAATGGTGGTCTCCGTTTTGCGCTACGAGGTCTAGAATTGCTAAAAATTGAGTTCAAAAATTTGACGTCATCAGTTTTTAACAGTTTTTTCGCTATAACTTGGCCAAAAAAAGAGGTATCGATCTAAAATTTAGTGTGTATATCGAAGAGCGCAGGGACTATCACATATATTCCGTTATTTTCGAAATACGAAAATTTTTTAGAAATTTTTCGAGTTTTTCTAAAAAAAAATATTTTTTTGGTTTTTTGGGTCAAAATCCCACAATTCCGAAAATCCGAGATAGCGGTTTTGTAGCGCCGTCCTTTCTCTACACAACCCCATAAAGAACTTTAAAATTGCTTGTTAACTGTAGAATTGGTGAGCGTTTCAAGATGTCATGTTTTTTGCTCATTTTTACTCGAACATGACCTCAGTTTGACCTCAATAACTCCTGACCTGAGGTGACCTGTGACTTGAAATTTTGTGTGAAGGTGTCAAATTGATGCCCGGTAAGGTACCCAAAATTTGGCGGCGCGCAGCGCCGCCGTTTTCTCGCTATTTAAGAAAAACCACAGGGGAGCCAAAATGCCCCCCCCCCCCATTAGGGCGCGGGTTAAGCGACGAGTTCTTCCATTCAGCTGCAGCCACATCCAGTTCACTGCTCTGTGCCATTTTCACAGGCCACAAGCGAACTGAAAGTATGTACGCCAGTTAGACGGAAGTTACGGGGAAGAAAAAAGTTTCTGTTTAACATTTCGAACCATAGTCATGCTTATCTGCATGCATTCAGAGTGCAACAGAGCGAACCCAGGCGGGAACAAATCAAATCGGATCTGTCAGAAAATGCTGAGAGGGCCCTGCAGGTCAGAACAGTTTTGGATTCAGACAGTCTCGTAACGGATCCAGGCTGGAGCGGAACGGATCCAAACTGGAACGGAACGGATCCAGGACGAAATTTGTATCAACGCTAACGTTTCCAGCTGAACCTCCTCGGGCGAATTTAACCGAAACCGATTGAGCTGTTTGCGACAGATTTCCCGTCGGTCTGGCGTTGCGTCACATTTGACACTGTCAGACGCAACCGCGCAGCAATTGACGCCAGTCAGTCACGCCAAGCCTTCAACCCAAGCAACTCTGACAGTACCGGAGGATGTAAGGGCGAAGTTTTACTGCAATCTGTCTAATCGGTATTATAAAAGGGTCGGTCGTATCCAGCAAGCATACCAGTTTGTTCTCCGTTAGTTGGGTATGAAGAAACGAGTTAGGATCGAGTTATTCCACTGAAAACTAAAGTGGAACTAAAGTGTGGAACGTTTTACTTGGCGGAATTTGCTCACTTCCCCATACTATTTCATAGATCACGCCCTAGTCGATGGCTTACCATTCCTGGAATTTGCTCAGCCTTATGAAGTCATCATTTCCCTAGTGCTGTAAACATTATAACTTCCATCGTCGTTCCCCATCAAAACACACTGAGCGTCACCGGCTTACCATTCAGCAAAATATGCATATGTAGACACGATGTGGCCAAATATAGAGGAAACTTAGTGTCTCCTTTTACCATAACTGCACGTTACATAAAGGCAGCACCTCGGCTGGGACAGACGACTCGGTAAGAAACAGTGATGAATGGCTGGCTTTAGGACATGCT